CACCGCAAACCTCGTCATTGACCTGACTCGACGATCATTTGCTAGTATGGAGAAGCTGGCTTTAGATGCCAATGTTATCAGCAAGTCAGTTAAACACTTTTGACCGAGTATTGAAATTTTCTAAACAGCGGCCGTTGTCTTACAGATGGCCCGCTGTTTGTTCGGATATCAAAACCTATCGACTTCCGTCACCTGCAAATCCGCCGAAGGAATCCGACGTCGTGGCGCAGAGTCAAGCACACACTGAAGGTTTGTGAACCCGTATCTATTAATTTGGAAGGTCTCACATAAATTGATCACTTTTCAGATGCCAACAACATAACATCACCAACGACAGCAGCAATGTCCAAAGAAACGAATGCTCTTGGTGTTCCTGCTCTAGTGCTGCTCCTTTTGTCTCTGGCTTTACTATAGTTCATAGGAGACAAAAGAAGAGAAAGAATGGAACCATCTGAACTTTACGCGTGTCTGTATAATGTTTCTTTTTAATTCCAACGGGTACTTTTTCGATTTTCAATAAAACATTTAATTCATCATAAATCAAACAAAAAGAACATCGTGAACACGCCTTGAAAATATCAACAGCTGAGGCAGTGGTCGGAAAACAACGTGAAGAGTTTTAACAGAAACTGCCAAAAATTAATACGCAGGACATCAGCGATCAAAACTAAGGGGCTATTTCAAAGTTGGATAGTGAATTACCAAGGACCCAAGCCGCAACACGGCGGCTACCTCTCCAGGAATCAATTCTAGACCCATTACAACAACTCCTTTGAGAATCCAACATTTTGATACATAATCGAACGCCACTAGACTGATGCTTTGCAAATTTCTCCTGAGATATACGGAGAGCCGGACTGTTTCCATACAAAAAGGTGGTCACGCTACAGAAGCGTGAGACTCTGACGCGCTTTATGATGCGTTAACTTGACTACTGCAGAAGGCTGAAACCATATGGACACCCGCATCTAAGGCACAAGATTCCTGTTTTGTGATTGGATGACACAAGAAGGGAAGAGGACCATGCTTCTAATACAGAATAGGAAATTTTCATAACAATCTGAAAGAAACCATCCCTGAAAAAAAAGAAAGACGTTCAGGTGCCCATTCCTTCCTTTTTTGGGGTTAGACTTGCGATCGAACTCGTCATTGGGAAGAAACGCGCTTCTGGCGCGACGCTGAAATCGTAGATGGGGCGCGGCATCGCTATGTACCATATCTATCAGTAATGAGCCTCGCCATTCGCGACTGCGATCGCGATTGCAAGTTGCAAAGTGTGACACCTATCTCAGTAACTAAACCATTCGAAACAATTCACCTCTTTTGGGGCTCTGACTTCTGAAGTTCCATGTGCGAAATCGACCAACGGTTTGAGCCATTTCGTGAACGCTAGAGTACTAATTTCAAGGGTTTTCAGAAAGTGAACGCAGGAATCCTTACTTTTCCGTGAGTTTCTGACATCCCGTGGGTAATTTAACGAATGCGACCCGGGAAAGACTCAAAACGCGAGACAGGGCGCTAAAACTTTGACCTAGACCCAACACTCAAATCCGTTGCTCTCGCCTTGACTAAGGTACTCCTTGCTCATTCTCTACGCTCTCTCTTCACCACGTCTGTTCCTTTGGCTCGGTGGTCACACTCTTTTTTCCCCCCTACAATTAGTCGGCCGCCTTCATGGTACTCCGGGCCCAAATAAAGAAATCCTTATTATTGGTGTTCTCGGCTCCTTGTCACACAGGCAGTCCCTTCCCAGTTTTACTTCCCATTTTCGAGCGCAATAGCCACACCGTGCTGGAAGTTAATAACGGGTGAGAATCTCTATTTCGGAAGACGAGAAGAAAATCGAGTGCAGACCACACATCATAAGAGACGACGGCCAAGAGAAAAGCGGCTTTTTTTTTTCTTGATCGTCGTCTCTTATGGTGTGTGGTCTGCACTCGATTTTCTTCTCTCGTCTTCCGAAATCGAGGTTAATTTTTCCAACTAATGTTCCTGCCCACAAGCTTCCCCTGATAATAAAATCTTCGTGCCTATCTGTTTCCTAGTTTACCTACGCTACTTATTAAGCGGAAGTAAGTTCCGGATAATGAAAAGGAAAGGAACTGATGCCATTACTATAATCTATCGAGTTCGAAGAAAAATGAAAAAGAAAGCAACTCCCTTACGAACATTACTAACAATAAGAAGGTACAACTTTCAAAAACAACAATCTATCACAGAAGAAGCACAGATTCAGAGAATACACTGTAAATAGCGGTCAACATGGAAAATGATAGGTTTCTAATCATGACGCACGTAAAACGTAATGCTAGAACCGCATTAGAAAAATAATGTGATGAAAGTAGCGACGCATTGCTTACTCCAAGTCAAGAGCTTTGGCCTTGAGAACTGCCGGTGCAGAACTCGGTGGTAGTACACGAATATCCGTCACAATGGCTGTGATGAGGTCGGACGGTATCAGTTCCATTGACTCCCGATTTAACAGTGCCACACGACCACCTCCTTGCACCTACAGAATGGCCTTTATTACTCGGTGACGTTAAGACGGTATATCCGAAATCGCAAGAACACACCTTGTCCACAAATTTAAATGTCTGAGAAAGAATAAGCACTGGAACATTGTAGGCTTTGGCTGTGAGTGCCACAAGCATACTGCCTTTCGGCGCAACAACGCACCCATTCGATAGCACCGCAGCACAGCCGAGAAGGACCATAGAACCCTGAAAGACACGCTAGTACGAAACACCAGTGGTTTAGCACCGGTGTACGATTAGAAAAGTACACCACCACGATTAACTCAAGTTTTTAGGCATCAAATGAGAATGAGACAGGTGCCGTCTCTTTTCTAAAGTTGCAAACCATCTCTGACGTCAGGTAAGAGCATAACTGAGCAAGAGCAAGAATGAGTGTGATAGCGACCCACTAGATTTTTCCACTTTTTTTTAACAGGATTATCGCAGTTTTACACTGCGGTCATTTGGCACAATAGTCTTCAGAAAGGCCGCACGATTCATAATATGAGCAACCCTATTCTTTGGTTTACGGACTACTTGATTTTTCCTCAATGGTCCTGCCGCGATGGCTAGAGCACAGACGATTAGAGAACGGGTGAATGCCCTAGGACTAAGCCTTGGAGAGGAGAGGGACCCGCGAGAGAGCGCAGAGGCGGTTTAAAGGGCTGAGTTCAAGTAGTCCGTCGACCTATTCTTTGAGCTTCAAAACAATAAAATCGCTGGCGAGCTGCTTCTTGTGAAGCCAAAATCAAATGGTAGCAAAATGTGACTTAGGCAGCCGCCATACTTTGCGACAGCTTGCAGTCCAAGTCCGGTTTTCGCACGTGTAGAACATGATATTCTGTGATCGTACGATCGCATAATCATATCATGTCATAAGAGCTTGTCTACATACACTCGAACTACGAGGCAGTCGAAAGTGTGACCGCGGCCTCACAGCTGAGCTGGGTGCGAATGGATTTATAAGATA